GAGTGAGACTCCGACTCAAAAAAAAAAAAAAAAAACATGTATTGAAATGGTCATTTTTTTTCCTTTAATCTTTCATCTGTGAATTACATTAGGAAAACCTATGTATATTACGCCATCTTAGCATTGTTGGGATAAGCTCTCACCATTCATTTATTCATTTCACAGCTGTTTGCTGAGTTTCTACTCAAGTAGCAAAAATTCAAATTTGAATTGCTGGTCATACAGCCATGAACATTAACAACAGCAAAGACAAAAATACTTGCCTTCATTGAACTTGCAATCTGATGGTGGCAGTGGGGGAGAGTTGGCAGAAAATATACAAAATAAATAAAATATAATATTGCATGGAGAGAAGTACCTGAAAAAAAAAAAAAGCAGAAAAAGGGGATAGGGAGAACAAAGTTACAACCTTTTATTACAAGTGAAAAAGTAACATTTAAGTAATGAGCTGAAAGGGATGAGGTATGGAACTATGACACGTGGTGGAAGACAGTTTCCCTCTGAGAACAGTAAGTACAAAAGGATGCCTAATTCAGAAAGATGTGGGTGGGGTGAGGAAGCACAGAGGGAAAGGTCTTACAGTGGTGTGCTGGTACATGTTCAATGACCTACTCTCCATGAAAACAAAGCAAACAGAAGATCTTGATTTGCAGCATTTGTTGATTCCTGTGGATAAGTACTTTCATCATGGATGCTCTTCAACCTACCAACTGGAAGTTTTGCAGCAGGTTCTGCAAAGCTTGAAGGAGCTGGGTCTAGTGTTATCAGTGGTTCTCAGAGACCAGTGATAGGACTTTAGCTTGCACTTAAGAGTGTGAGATGAAGTCCCTGGATAGTTTTAAGCAGGGTGTGTTACCTGAAAGAATACAAGTGAATAGTGATGATGAAAGCCTCAAGTGTCAAAGAATTGTGTGGACCATGTCACCAAAAGTGGAGCCTCAAAGTAGAACATTCTCCTAAATAACCACCATGCAACCCTCAAAATTGGGAAATACATTACCAGCATTTTGTGCTCAGACCTCATCCACATTTTACTTAATATCCCTAATGGCCAAAGAATCCAGAGTCATGCCTGGCATTTCATTGTCATGCTTCCTCGGTCTCTTTCTGCCCTCAGTTTTCCTTGATTTTCATGATCCTGATACTTTTGTAGATAATAGCACAATTATTTTGTAAAAATATCCTTCCACTTGGATTAGTCTTTTGCTTCCTCAAGATTAGATTGAGGTTAGGTATCTTGCAGGAATATCCCAGAAGTGATGCATCCTATCAGATTTTGATTTGTTCCATTGGTTATGTTAACCCTGAGCACATAAGTAAGGTAATGTCTGCTAGGCAGCTGCACCTTAAAGTTACTCTTCTTCTCTTAGTCATCAATGAGTATTCATTGGAGAGGCACTTTGAGACTGTGTGTACACCACATTCCTCCTTAGAGTTTCATTTTATTCATCCATTTATTTATACCAATCAGGACACATGATCCAGTTTTATTCAGTGGGTTATTCTTTTGTTCAGATTGAATCAGATGTGACCAGGGAGTTCCTTTAAGACGGTTTCTGTTTCTGTTTTGATTTTGTTTTTTGTTTTGTTTTGAGTTGGGGTCTCCCTCTGTCACCCAGGCTGGAGTGCAGAGGAAAGGTGAGGGATCACCACAGCCTTGACCTCCTGGGCTGAAGGGATCCACTCTTCTTAGTCTCCTGAATAGCTGGGACTACAGATGTGGGCCTCCATGCCTGGCTAATTTTAAAAAATTTTTTGTGGAGACAAAATTTTGCTGTGTTGCCTGGGATGGTTTTGAACTCTTGGGCTCAAGTGATCCTCCTTCCTCGGCCTCCCAAAGTGCGGGGATTACGGATGTGAGCCACTGTGCCCAGCCTCTGTCTCTTTTTTGATATGTCCCTAGCTTTCTTTGATTTCTTGCTTAATTTGTTGCACAGCAACATGTTCTAGGCTTATTTTTATTCTTTTCCTGTTCCAGCCTTGGATGTACTAGTTTTACTAAGGAACCCTGTTTTGTTTGTTTTGTTTTATGTGGAAAATAGCCTTTACAAACCAAGTTCTGGGTGCTAAGTGTGCTCATTGCTATTGGGTGTCACTTCTCCCAGAACTAGTGTGAGTGTGTGACATGTATGATGTTTATATTTGGATGTATGCACATGCATACTTGAATATGTACACTTACATGTATCTGTGTTACTCTATTTATATACATTGTAAACCATGACTTCCACACAGATATTTTCTATTCTAGTCCACGGCAAGGTCCATTCTAGTTTTCTCCCTTTCTCTCTTTGTAACTCCATTCTCCCACAGTGAGAATCCTGGCCCTCCTTATCCTCATGACGTTTACTAGGTCAGTTTCCCTCTGTACTAATTTTCTGCTGGCATCCTTTGCCACTCCCCCTCCCCCCACTCATTGTTGACACTGTTTTCACTTGCTTGACCCTGTTGTGGACCAAATATTTGTGCCCCCCCCAAATTCGTATGCTGAAGTCCTAACCTCGATGTGATGGTGTTAGGAGTGGGGGCCTTTGAGCGGTAATTGGGTGTAGGTGAGATCATGCGGGTGGAGCCCCCTGTTGAGTTGTGTCCTTACAAGAAGCGAAAGAGACACTAGAACTTCCTCTCTCCATTATTTTTCCAATGATGTCAGTTGTTGAAGCCACCCAGTCTATGGTATTTTGGTCTAGCAGCCAGAGCTAAGACAGGCTCTCAAACCCCGTGCTGTGCTGGCCCCACCTCCCACTGGGATTTCCTCCTCACCTTGGTGTCAGACCCCCTGCTGGGTGGTCTTCCTGGTGGATGCCCTTCCCAGTCTACTTATCATCTCCGGTCTGTGCCAGGCCCCTGTGGCTCTCCATCACGAAAATAGGGGCTGCTTTGCGTGGCCCTAGTTTTGGGGGAAGGTAGAGTATATGCCCGAGATGGGGTGCAGTGGGGACTGAGGAACTCCTCGGTATCCCTTGAGTCACTTGCAAGTGCCAAGCCTACGCAGTCTAGTTAGAACATCATTGTGATGGCAAAATGGACAGTGTTCAGCAAACTGTGGCCCGTGGACCAACTCCAACCAACAACCTGTTTCGGTAAACACAAAGTAGACTATGTAATAGAGAACATATGTGGCCCCACAACCATGTGTATTTACTATGAGGTCTTTTGCAGAAAACGTTTGCTGACCCAGCTTTAGAGAATCATTATTTCTTAAGCATCATTTCCTGAAATTGGACTTTCGACTCAAGGATTTGAGGCTACCTGCCCTGCAAAAAACTCAGGCGTTTGATGTCCTGGATTGCCAGTGAGATGCAGACCCATGTGCTTTGAAAAGGAACTAGCCAGAAAGTTGTAAGATTTTGTAAGGTAACTTAAGAGGCCTAACCGAGATGCCCTCTTGAACTCGTGGTCTGCCCCTATACTTATATGACTTTCAGGCAGACGGTCTGCTTCTGCACTTGGGTGACACCTTGTAGATGGCCTCCCATCCACACTTAAGAGGGAGCTGTGGTATTTTGTATCCCTGTTACAGCAAACTTATTTCAGCTTCAGAGGAGGGTAGTTTCTGTATGTGCCTTTATCACCTCTATTCTTAGGGGACCTACCTGGTGGCCAGGGACTGTGTTTTACTCTTTATTGTCTACTCTGAGTAATTTACTCTGAACTGGATTAGTAAGTCCTTTCACACCTGGTATTCATATATCACTGTATTGTTTTCTTCATTAATTCTTTTATTCTTAAAATTGACAAGAATGTTTTTGTTTTGTACCTTTTGTTTTACCTAATCTTTTCAAAATCTCATGTCAATTAAAAATAGTACCTTGTTCTGATTTGCTGGAAGGTAAAACATGATTCATAAAAAATATGTGAAAAATAAAAATAAAAAATATAAAAATAAAAAACATGATTGTACTGTTGGTCTCAGAAACAAGAATAAAGATTATGCCCCAGGAGTTGCATGTGACAGTGACAGTGACACTTGCTCCCTGGCTTGACCTAAATCTAGTGTGGACTGGTTTTCTTTGTGATCTGCTTGCTGCTGTTTTTCTGGGGCAGTGGCTTTAAAGCCTCCCTTGAAGAGGAACTTTGGCCACTTTCGCCTCTTCCGTCCTGTGGTTTTCATGATGAGAATGGCTAGTTTGGCTTTTATGCTTCGTTTCCAGGGAGCCCAGGGAAGGCCGCGTGCCCATGGACATCTCCATAACGCCGTCCTCGCTCCGGCTGAGCACGCCGGGCGGCTGCACAGAAGTCTGGCTTCCAGCAGAGGTCAGGCTCGCGCCTGCCTCGTGCCGCGGGCTGCGGTTTGTGGCCGGAGATGGACTGCACCTGCGGCTGCAGGCGCGCGGGGAGCTCCGCACCAGTGAGTCGTGCTCGCGCTTCTGTTTCCGCGTTGCTTTTTCTTTGTGCCTCAAAGGCGATTTTCTCCCGTGATGAGCTGAACTTTTCCCAGGTGACAGAACTAATTAGCGGCATGGGAAGAGCCTGGGCTGGAGGGGCTCTAGGGTGTTGGCTGTGCACAGGTGAACATGCTACTTAACTTTTGGACCGTCCCTCCCTCCATTCCTTTCGTTAGAGCACTTTTAGGTTCACGATGAAATCGAGCGGAGGGCACAGCGATTGCCCATGCACCCCCTGCTTTGTTTTTTCAGTTGTAAAATTTCTTGGCTACAGAGGTGATGTGAAGATTAAGTCAGATGGCAGTTGTCGAAGGCCTGGTGGTTTTTAAAGCATTCCATAGAAGTTTTTATTCATTCAACAAATATTTTAGTTCACACTGTGTGCCAGGTATCAATCTAGATGCTGGGGATACAGAAGTAAACAAGTTAGGGAAGGTGTCTGTTCTCTCGCAGGTTACATTCTAATGCGTGAAAGACGATTTAACTGCATACTGAGAAGAGTGCTGTGGGTAAAGTGGAATAACGGGAGAGAGGGTGACTACTGGGGTTAGGTAGAGGGTGGTCAGGGAAGGCTAGTCCAAGGAGGTGGTGTTTGTCCAGGGACAATAACAGACGGATGTGATGTGTATTCTCAGAGTAATAGGAGCAATAGAGAAAGAATAACTCATTCAGGTACGTCCTGCCACCTCACTGCTGCCTCGTCCGCAGTAAGCCTTTCATGTGAGCTGTGTTGATCCTGGAGGTGAGGTCAGCAGGAGTGTTCTGAAGAGCCCTTAGGAGATGTTGTGCATTCCCCCGAGTCTTTATTCCTGGCTTTTTAAAGGAGAGAGAAGGTAGAGGGAGCTTCGGTCCTGCTTTGCCGGAAAGTGATTTTTGTTAAAGTTCTGCATGAGCGAACAGAGTTGGGCAGAGTTGGTTTCAGGAACAAGAAGCATGGGAAAGAGATGTCACAGAGCTTGAGTGGCACAGGATGAGTGCTAGGCATGGCTGATGGAATAGCCGCGGAAAGAAGGCTGGGGCCGGCCAGACGGAAAGCGGCGAATACACCCGTGCCCTGAGTGCACTTACTGGTGGGCCCAGAGAAGTGTCGTCCCAGGGGAGAGGCCCAGGGAGGCCAGGTCTTGCGAGGCGCTGGCTTCTTCCCAGCAACAGCGGGCGGCAGCAGCCGCAGTGGGACCTTGTGTCCGATCTGAAAACGGGGGAAGGGCAGGCATGCCAGCCACAGGGCAGAGTTTCCAGGTCCTGGGGCTGGGAGTTGAGGGGTGGGGGAAAGGAGACCTCTGGAACGCAGTGTTGGGGTGTTGCCCACCCATCTTCTGGAACTGTGGATAGACAGATCCCCAAACCGGACATGCTTAAAGCCCTTTAGATCACAAGTACTGTTTAAAATGTAGGACAAAATAAAGGGACTGCTTGGTGCTGGTCTGCATATTGTTTGTGTTCTCTGGTCTCCTGTTTCTTCACACTTTTAGTAAGCTTGACTCACACGTCCGAAAAGGAAAACTTTCAAGGCCTGCTCCATAGTGCGCGAAAGGCTATGAAAAATGGAGGCCTCGGCACTCAGTTGCTTTAGTGCTTTACACAAAATAGGTGGTGCATAAATATTTGCTGAATGAATAAGCATGAATAGATGTGTACTAACATGAACTTGAATCAAACCATATTGTAGGAAGTGACTTTTGAAAATTTTGGCATTCAGTTTGTGTTTCGGAGTGTTTAAAAAGTTGACTTTTCATTGGTAAGAACAAGCTTTTAAAAACAACCATAGTAAACATCATAATGGCACACTGCTTGGGGCATGAAACGTGACCCCAAAAGGGAGCTGGCTACAGCAGGATCTGACATAGCACAAGCGTTCCATCCACCTCCAGTGGCAGTATGCTCCAGGATTCCTCTGTAACAGAAAGTGCTGGCTTTAAGAACTGGCCGGGTACATCATGCTAGGTGGCCAGCAGAGGGTAGCGTTTCACTGAAAATGTGCTTATTGGTCTGGAAAGACTATTTTGGGTGTGTTACCTAGGTCTCCTTTTGATCTGCTCAGAGTTAAAGAATAATACTGCTTATTTCACTTTAATGCAGTAGAGATTCGTGGGCAGCCCTATAAATTGCAGAATTTTTAATTGTCAAGGCTTAAATTTTCTAGCAACAATTTTAAAAATCCTTAGAATACATACAAAGTAACATGAACTGAATTCAAATTGCTCGATCCTAATGGATATGAGACCTCATTTCTTTATTTAGATTTTTTACGGATAAATAGTTGTATTTTTTTGAAATGCAAGTTCTCTTTTTTCACAAAAGAAATAATGGACGCTAAAGGAGCACGCTGCCTTTTGCTGTTTCATGTAGTGAGAGAAAAAGACATTTTCCACAGCTTTCTGATGAATTTGAATTTTGCTATTGGAAGATCGAACTCTTCCTTGGAGCCAGTCCATTCCCAGGGAACTGTCCAGTAAATACCAGTTTGAGATCCATTTTGTTTGTACATATGATACTATGCCAGAATAGATATAAACCGTGTATAAATCAAATTAAACCTAAATTATAGAGCTTTATTTACTAGCAGTCACACTGATGAGGAACTGTGCGGTGAGGCGTAGCAGAGGAAGCTGAGGGTGGTTAAAGATCTGTGGAGTAGCTCAGTGTGGAAGAACGTTTTTCCACTCATCTTTCCTGTTGGTATTTATAAATGAGAGAAGTAACAAACGTTACATAGGCAGTCTAGGGCAGCTCCTAGCTCTGAAGCGCTTTGCAAAATCTTTTATTTTTGAAAACACATCACAATATTTGCTTCTGGTTGAGTCATCAGATAATACTAATTAAATGTGTTCTTCTGGGTGGATCATAAACAGTATTTAGTGGTGGTAATTTTTTGTGGTTACTAAACTCTTTTTGTGTGTTAATGTATTTGTTCCACACCTTTAAGATTTGCTATTTCATTGTTTTCCTTTAGAACTGATTTCAGTGTTTAATCAAAGCTCGCAAGCCCAAGAATGTTGCACGTTTTATTGCCAATCCTGTGGTGAAGTCATAATAAGGGACAGGTAAGGAATGTGTTTTAACACTGATGAATTCCGTGTCTGGCAAAGGTCATCTCTTATTCTACCAGGGTTTTGAAGTACTTGCCAACAGAGCAGTACATGTGCTTAAAATGAGAGCCAGCTTCATCTCACTTTGAACAAAATCAACCACAAAACTTGCCAGAAACCATAGAATGGTTGACTCTTCTCAAGGATTTAAAGGGGAGCACTAGGATGCTGGCTTGGAAGGAGGAAGGCTTATCTCGGTGGGAGAACCTGTGCTGGTCACTGAAGCACCTCTCTTCTGAAAAGGAACTTGGGATCTGTCACATGTTTTTCCATCATGATGGTGAGCGAGGTTTTCCACATTAAGTGAATTTTCTACACAGCAGACTTTTGCAGCACAACTTTTTACTTGAACTATTTTCATCGATGCCTTTCTAAAATCCATTTCCTTTTTTCCTTGCTTATTAAGACAGAGCATACTGAGCACAAATTAACCTTTTCTCTGTGATTAGGTTACTCTTGTAACTTGTTCTTGTGATGGGCTGTGATTACCCTATTGAGATGGGCCCTTGGCTGCTTTTTTTCCTTTGTATTCCAAGGACTCTTAAATTTTTTTTTTTTCCCTTCTTTCTTCCTATTTCTTGTTTCTTGGGCACAGACCCTTTCCCCTGAATTTTCAGCTTCTAAATCACTTTTAGGCTAGAAAGACAAATCAGAACCTTATTACTGTTAACCATATATACAGAAAAAATTTAGAATTCTTTGTTAGATGGGTTTCCTGAGTCAGGTTCCTGAGACTTATAAGTGATCCTTCATATCTGAAATCTGCTTCTCTCCCAGTTCAGTGATGCCAATTGGCTCCGTGTGTCCTCAAGGTAGAAACTTGGTGTTGTTGCCTTGGGTTCCTCCCTGCGAGGAGTTCCCCTCCATAGACAACCCATCACTACTTTCTTTGTAGCATATCTTAAGTCTGCTTTCCTCTACCCCATTGCCACTAACTTAGTTGAGGCCACTGTCTCTTCCCCTCATTACACCCGTTGCCAACTCCTCATCCACTCAGCCTTCCTTGGTTTCACCCTCATCTGATCCATTTTTATTCTGCTTTTTCTCAAGTACAGCTGACTCCCCTCTTCAAACCCTCCCATGCCCCTGATTTCTTCAGGATAAGTTCCATAAGTCCTTTGCATTCTGCGTTAGTTCCTTTGAGTTCTCCTGTTTACCCCTCTACCTGCACATTTCATCCCTCTCTCACCAGTCTACTCCTCCCCCTCCCAAAAAACACCATCCTTGACTCGCGTTCTGTGCACGCTCTGGGGATCAGCCCATAGTCCCACCACCTCTTCATGCTTTTCTTCACCCTGGGACCTTCTGACAGCCACTCCTCTCCCAGAATGCACCTCAGAGCCTGTTTCCCCCAGTCAGCTCCTACCTGAACTTCAGAATTCAGCTGGCAGAGCAGTTCCTACTGGGAGCTTTCTCTGCACCCTGGCTTGTTTTAGGTGCTCGTCTAAGGTTTCTTTGCTGTCTTCACGATTAAACCATAGGCTCTGGGAGGGGAGATAATCTCGTCTCCTGTATCTCTGTCATCATTCTACTGAGAGTATGGTATAGTGTAGTGCCTCGCAGTACAGACTTACAAGCCACAGTAACTGGGTTTGCATACCATTTACTAGCTGTGAAACTCTGGGCAAGTTACCTAACCACTCTGTGCCTCGATTTCCTTACTGTGAAAGTGTGGAAAAGAATAGGACCTACCTCATAGGATTGTTGGGAGAGTTGAATGCGTTCAAATGTTTGCCTGGCACATGGCAAGCAATCAATATGTCATTATCTACGGCTGGAAGTGTAATTATTGTTCTTATAATGATCATCATCATCCCCATCCCCAGCATCAGGTGCAGTGCCTGGTGAATAGTATGCCCTCAATAAATTTTTGCTAGGCTGACTTTAATAAACATTGGTGTGTTTGTTCTGGCTTCCTAGTCAGCTGTTCTTGCTTGCTTCCTGATTTCCTGGCCACGTCCCAGGTAGATGAGATGGCACAACGTCACTCCGGTGTCAGCAGGAGATTATGAATGGAACACCCTCAGGAGGGTTGTTTTGTGTAAGAAATGAGGTAGCTTTAAATTTGGAGAGGAGAGAGTCTCATCTTTGCTCAGGTCACCCGAGGGCTGAAATTGCTGCAGAGTAAGTACTCAGAGACAGGCCCACTTTCTTCTGAGGCCCCGGGGATGCCGGTTTATACTGTAGTTTAGCCAAGAGTGTTTTCCTTCTCTGTTTCAGACTCTGGTTTAATTCTCAGAAGACGTTTCTGAACCTTTCATTCCTACACAACAGTGAGCTGACCTAGATGTTACAGCGGGAACAAGTTGAATTCAGTGTAACAGTATTTCCTGGTGCTGCTTACAGTGAAGGATGTGTTCGTCCATCTTTGGTTGATATTTGTGTTTCATGGGAGAAGGATGATGATATGAAAAGTCTTTGTCTGTGGCCCCCATGTTTCCTGTTCAGGACCTGTGTCTTCTGTTTTGTGCCTATTCCTTTCACAACCGTGGAACTGAGAATTAGGTGGGCTTGGAGGCTTAATGTTGAAGGGCAGCATTCACTGACCCTGACCTTGACCATCGACAGGCCTGCAGTGTGGAGGAAAGAGCAGGACAGCTGGACCTGGGTTTGAAATCCTCCTGCATCACTTAATAGTTGAGGAGCCCTGTTAGTACCACCTCAGCCTTAATGCTCAAGAAGTCTTTTTTATTGGGTTTAGTGACTCTATCCTTTTTTCTTTTTACAAATTTTTCTTATTAGCAAAATGGCAGATTAGCTAGTTTAGTGTTTTAAGTTTTTTTGTTCAGGACTCTGATTCATATTCTCTGTATGTGCCAAGGAAATGAATCATCTTTCTCTCCGAGAAGATAAACAGTGGACTTACTTTAAGAAAGGCTTGCCTGAAAGACTTTTCATATCACACCTGTGTGTCTGGCATGTGTATGTGTCTTGAATAAGGCAGAAAACTCCTTAGTAAGTGACTCAAGGCTTTACTAACATTTCACTTTTAGCCGCATGCCCCATGACTCTTTGTTTTACGGAAAAATGTGCTTCTTCAAGTATCTGCACATGGACTTCATGTGACTTTAATATCAAGCCCAGCGGTCTTCTCATTTCTCCTTCAGTCACCTGTTGTGGGTGAGTGGTAAGGACAACGTCTGTGCATGTTAAATAGAAAACAAGACCAAAGGTGTTTCAAATGAACTTCTATGTGCTATAATCAAAGTCAACTAATTGTAGTCATTTTTCCCTGGAAGGTGCCTTGGAATATGATGACTTATCTGTGTTGGGAGTGCCTCTACTAGGAGCAATAGAGTGGAGTTGAGATCTGCTTACAGGCTAGCCTTATTATCTGAGAATAAGTTACTTTAATATCCCAGGGCTCAGTTTCTTCATCTGCAAGATAAGGAAGCTGGATTGGATAAACCTGTAAGAATGAAATTTTGTCAGAATGAAAATTCTCTGATCAGTGAACCTCATCAAGTAATACTTTGGGTTTCATGTGCTTTATGATTCATGATTATTTGTATAGTATTAAGACTAACGCTTGTTCCTCTTTTTTTTTTTAAATGAAAAAGGTTCTTATCAACCAAATTACAGAAATAATATATAGAGGACAATTTAACGCAGTAAGACTCATTAATAGCTTTTAATACTTATTAGCATGAGGGTGCATGACATCTGCTAATTATAGCAGCTTTTTTTCTTAATTTAAGGTTGGATGTTCTTAGCCATTTATTTTTGTTATTTGAAAATAAATAATGTTTTGTTTTTTTACAATAAAATTCTCCAATCTACATTTTTACCAGATTGGTGGAATTTAAACTAAAATTTGAATGGACATACGTAGTTTTGTGTTATATTCTTGTTGAGACTGCCAGGCCCTAGTGTCAGGCAGCAGTAGTACAATTTACTTCTTTGTGAATAGTCTCAGAAACAGCCAAATGGTCATTGTGCTTGATGTTTGTTATGTCTCCTAGAAATAAATTCCCATCATACTTGAGTGACAACAATTGGCCAAACCGACTTTCAAACTCAAGTCTTTTGATTTTCATACTGTTTGAAGCAGAGGGCTCTCCTGAGGTTTTTGGACTGGTCTGCCCTGTTCTACCTGCACCGGCAGGGCAGTGCTTGGTGTCAGCCCAGAGCTCGGGAGGGCATTGAGACTCTAGAAGAAAATGGCAGGATGGGCTTTGTGGAAACACGAGATGTCAGAGTATCCAACCACTTGATTTGTCTACTTGGCAGGCCAGCTGTAGTTGTAGTCTGAAAATAACGACGCCTGTGAATACAGTCACTTTTCTCTATGAAAGAGAGCAAAGAAGAAAGAGTGCAGGCACAAAGTAGACTATTAGTAATGTTAAGCAAACTTTTGGAATAAAATTATACTTGTTTGAGCCTAATTGTATGAGGTACATAACAGTAGTAAAATGTAAAGCTAGTTTTATAGAATTTGTGGCCTGCCATTTGAAGAATATCACCGAAATTAATCTAAATTCCAGCTGCCACATTTTGAGCTTTAGGTATTTGGTGTTACTCTTAAGATTAATAATGTCTACTTGGTTATAATCCAATTTATAAAAGTTCTGTGTTATTATTATGGCTGATTAATGCTTGATTTTAAAGCTAAGAGATGTTTCATTTTCTTGTATATATGTTAATTTTTATTACTTATTTTTCTTATCTCTTTTTATCTCCTTATTCTCTTTAAAGTTAAGGGGCTTACATTTTCTTATGTATATGTTTAAATCTTAAATGAAACATCATCAATCAATAGCATTTATTAAGGTTGTGTACTTTAAGTGATTACTTCCTAAAAGTTTATGCTCCAGATTCATTAAAAATAACCATCAAATTTTAACTTGTTATAATGTGTTGCTGTTTGTTATAGAATCTTAAGCTGAGAGAAAATTCAAGAAATCATTTTGTTCCTTTTGAGCTCCAGCAGGTTTTTACCTAAAAACCACCTTGGGAAAAAAGATACCAGTTTTATTTTGAAAGTTCTCCTGGGAAGTAGATCATATCAAAGTATACTTCTCATGGTTCTAGATAGATATACTTTTAGTAGAGCTATGATTAAAATACATCTTTTGTTCTTAAAGGTTTTGTGTTTTCTTCAAAACATCAGAAACTGTTTTCTGCTGTAAAAACTTTGCAATGACTTTTGAATTAAGCACTTTCTTGCTCCTGATGTCTTATGTAGATGGTTATAAGATATATGAGTATTATAGCTTTTATTCACATGATATGGGGTCAAGTTAAGTTTAAAATATTGTATTTTGTGTTAATGTGCTCATCTCCCGGATCTCTGTAAATCATGGTGCAGTTTCATTTCCTTGATCACGTAGGGATTTTGACATCGTTGTCTTTTACACTGTGTTGAGGGTCCGTTTATTGGCATTACATGCAGAATGTCAGGAAACAGAATCTTAGGAGTCCATTTAGGTCTCACTCTGATTCTAAACAGGTACCTTGTTTGCCTTCTCCTTCTTGGTAAAAATTCAAATCTGACCTTTTGCGTCTCTGCTTCAAATTCTATGATGCCTCCTACCTATCTGTAGAACCAAGTCCTTACCTCCTAGCATGACCTGGAAGAGCCCCCATAGTTTGCCACCATCCCCCCTGCTCAAGTTTTCCCTAGGGCCGTTCTGCATTGCCAGGGAAGGTCTGGGTTCAGATCCTGGCGTTGCTAGTCACCTCTGAGTCTGTGAACTTGTACAGACTGTTTGACATTTCTGAGCCTCACTTTCCTCCTTTGTAAGAGGTGATTGGTGTTTCTTATCTCACAGAATTGTTGTCAGCAGTAAATGGGATAAGGTGTGTGGAGTGCCCACCAGGATTCTTCTTAAGTTCTTCTAAACGTGTGGATTCACAAGACTACCACAGGCCACGTTCCTTGTCAGCAGGGCAACATCAAGGATTTCTCTTAGCAGGGGATCTGCAGCAGTTCACCCCAGTGACAGCTCACACACCCCCACCTGAGGACTCTTGTCTCCCCCAAATGACACAGTTCCAGGTACAAAGCATAAGGTGCACATCAGGGAGATAGGGGAGCTTCTCTGGCTGAGAGGAAGCCTCATGCCCTAAGCAGCCAACATCTCTTCTAATAATTTTTTGGCATAGTTTATAGGGTTCCCCACAAGAGACTACACTCAGGGAGCCCAAACCATGGCATTCTCGTCAGACATTTATAGCTCATTCATAGTTTTTCCTGGTTTAGGTTCAATTTGCCAATCAGGGATCGTTTTTACCGCAAGCAATGTTGCCTAGCAATATAGTTGATGCCTAAGATCTTACCAGGTTTCCAGGGTAACAGAGCTAGGTGGCTAAACCAAAGGTCAGATTCTCAAGCAGCAAGGGAAAAGGTTTGTTAACCCTTTAATCTCAGTGTGCAACAATCCCAACCAGGGGCCTCACATGTTACAATTGTGAAGAAATACCAGTTCATTTCTTCAGCAAATATTTAAAATGTCACACTGTAAGTTAGGCGCTATTGCAGACAGTAGAAATACAATAAGGTAAACAGATATGGTATCTACCTTCATATTGTTTCTTCCGTGGTACCCTTCATTGCCTGAAGAATTATTCTTTGTCCTCAAAAGCCAGCTAAGGTATTACTTCTCCTCTGAAGTCCATGTACAATGTATTCCCCTAGCACTTTGTATATATTGCCCTGCATTCATGGGTTGGCCTCAGGGATCCATGAATTCCCTAAAGTAATATGCAAATCTGTGTGCTTATAGGAATGTATGTTTGAGGAAAGGGGTTAACACTTTTACCAAATATTCAAAGTATTTGTGCTACTCTCCCGGTCTCTAAGAATTCATTACTCAGTTATGAGCATTTATTACATGTGGCTTTATTATTTGTTTATAGGTCCATATTTCTTAAAAAAATATGAGTACCTTAAGAGAAGAGGGTATTGGTATTCATAGTCCGAATGCCTGATTCATGGTAGACTTTTCAGAAATGTATTTTGAAAGAATCACTTCTCCAGTATCCTTAACAGGCTTAGCAGCCTGATGGTGGCAGTGGTATAGCATACCCTGATTTGAAGGAAAAAATGCTTTGTTCTATTCAACTGAAGTCAGCCTTTCTTGTTCTTAGCTTTGTCCTCCATGGTTACAAATTAAGGGTCTACCCTCTTCCAGACAGTATTTGCCTTTTTATGATACTCATGGTTGATTGGGGAATCAAAGAAAAATGGCTAACATGGAGGAATTGTTAAAAAAATAATACATTCACATCCTAAATGTTTTAACTTACAACATCTGAATACATTAATCTACTAGTATTTTGTTAGAAGGAGAAAACTAGCAGATATCACCTTTCCCAAGTAATCAAGATTAATATCACCAATGATAAGTCATGTTAATATACTGTACCCCCTGATATGGTGTGACGAGAAGGGTGCCTTACCTCTGTGATTCTTATCCCAAAACCATAACCCCAGTCTGATCTTGAGATAATATCAGACAAAATCAGATTAAGGGAGAGTTTTATAAAATATCTGACCGGTACTTTTCAGAAATGTCAAAGTCCTGAAAAATAAGGAAATATTGAGAAACCGTCATAGACCAGAGGAGGCTAGGGAGACTTGATGACTAAATACAACGTACTATCATGGATTGAATCCTGGAACGGCGGGGGGGTGGGGTGGGGTGAGGAGGACATTAATAGAATGGAAAAGTTGAAATCTGGATAAAGTGTATAGTTTTGACAAATCTCCCATGATTATATAAGATATTAATGTTAGGGGAAGCTGGGTGAAGTGTATTGGGAACTGTCTGTATTATCTTGGCAACTAACTTTTCTGTAAATCTAAAATTATTCCTAAATAAAAAAAGTTTTTTAAAATGTAGCAATAGAATCAAGAAGACAGTTATTGGGTGATTTGAAATTCAAGGCACATAAACCAAATTAGAAGGCATTAATACCAAAAAAAAGTGACAGATTATAGACATAGGGTTAATACTGTTAATATAGAACATGCTTTTACAAATTAATAAGAACATACTGACACCTCATTGGAAAATAGTCATTGATCACAATTCCCAGAAGTAACAGTGTTCAATAAATAGGAAAACCAGGTCAATGTTACCAGTAATTTAAGAGTTGCCAATTAGTGTTGAGAATATTTTCACCCATTACTAGTGCAAAGATGGAAAAATAATAGTATTCAATTATAAAAAGGGTGAGTGGAAGAATTATAGATTGATATAACTTTTCTGGAAAGAACTTCACCAAATGAGTGTTGGCTTTTCAAATATGCATACCATTTTTGCTTATCTCACACTTATAAGATTTCTGTCCCCAAGGAAATCAGATAAATACACTAATTTTCTAATAGGAATATTGGTCACAGAACAATTGATAATGAAAAACTCAAAATTAAATATCTAATAGTGAGGGAATGATCTGAAAAGTGTTGACGTACCTATAGAATACAATGTTGTAGCGTCATTAAGAATCATGATCTAACTAAATAAAATAACAAAAGCAAAATATGTGTGTGTGTGTATATATACATATACACACACATACACATACACACATATATATATATATATATATATATATATATATATATATATGCTGATCCCAAACTTCATGTGTATATGTACAAATATGTTTCTTGAAAGGATGGCAAAGAAATGTGCCATCATGTAAAAAGTAGTTATTTATTTTGGGGTAGTGAGAGAATGATGATGTTTTTTTTCTTTATACTTCTTTGCATTTTCAAAATTGTCTGTAGTGAGTCTATATTAATTTTATAGCTGGGGAAGAATTAGCATTGCAGGCCATGTGGTTAATGAGTTTCTTTCGTCTTTTATGATGCCTTAATTAAGAAAATGTTAGTTCCATTTTGCTCTGTGAAACCGTTTTTCCTTTTTCCACCAGGAGACTTCTCAGGGTGCTGCCACTGCCAAGTGAGAACTGGGGTGCTCTAGTTGGGGAATGGTGTTGCCATCCTGACCCCTTTGCTAATAAACCACTTCATCCAAAAGAGAATGACTGTTTTGTTGGAGACTCTTTCTTCTTGATGCATTTAAGAGCCGATTTGTGGTGGCCAAGACCTGAGCTATCCCCAGTGAAGACGCGCTGTCCTTCTTCTGAGAACCACCTTAAATTGGTAAAATATCATTTCAAAATAAATGCTAACTTAGAGAATGACTTAGCTACTGGTTTCTTCAGTAAGTTCTTGTTACGCAGATTGTTCTAAAGGCCAGAATCCATTATTTTCAACTGCCTTTTATTCTTGGCTCTGCTTTATTGATACAGGAAGAGCATATGGTCTTAAACTAAAACAGCTACAGAGGCAGGAGGCATAAGGAGACAAGGACTTCTTCATGCGTCGAATTGAGAGTGCTACCATTTTACAAACCAAAATGCTCTACTTTCTTGTTTTTAGAACAATATTTCATAATTCGTGTGCATTTTATCCTGAATAATCTGGTTTAAATTAAGAGTGTTCTCTTGCTCCAGGATACTTACTACACAATTAGGCTGAGGTATTTTACTACTTCTGCCCTTAATAGACTTCTGCTCAAGTCATGAAAGCAGATGCCACCAAGGAATGCAAGGAAATGGAGGAGCCTTGCAATAGAGAGAAAGCCAGGTAGCAGGGTCCAAGTTGGCGCTTGACAATGTGAGGTCGGTGGCTCTTGCTATGTAAGTTATGTCTGAAAGAAGGCAATTTCCTCTCATTGCAGAGAACAAGCAGTTTATTAAAAAAAATAAAAATCAATACTATTGGCTTGGCCCTTGTGAGAAATCATTTCCCTGATGGCCAGTCAATACAGATGTGATTTAAAAGGCAAAGAAAATCCTTGCCAGAACATCTTTTTAACATCTTATTATTGGTAGGCACAAAAACGTATTTTAAATTTCATTTAAAACTCATTTGATTTTTTTAATAAGAACTGAGTACTACAGGAAATATGCAGCAGTTGGACAGCTCTTAGGATGAAAAATTGGTTTATATAGAACTATTTTTAGGGAAGTTAAGGAAATTTATCAAATATTGGGGTTAAGTTCTGGCCAGTTAAAATTATTTAAGTGCCTCACTTCTCACCATAAATGGAAATCCCTTTATCTAAACATGGTTCGCTTTAGTGAAGTATAGTACTTTAGATTCTGTATTTTTAAAAGATAAATGGTAAGCTAATATAAGTTTATGTTATGAATATATTTAATATGATTATGTTAAATTTGTATTTAAATCTAAATTTGCATACTAATACCTTATTATTTTATGTGTTTTAACTTTCATTTTTATGATTAAGCTGCACATTTTAAAAGTATTTGGAAGGCACGAATGGAAAAGGAATGGAGAAAGATCAAATGAGAGAAACCATGATTCCCTCTGTGCTGAAACATATTCTTTACATTTACATCTTTTTCAGTTATTTGATGCCACTTGCAAGAATTTTTCTTCACTGTAAACATCCATCTTATGCATTAAAGAAAGAGGCCCCTCATGTTTAGACATTCCAGTTTTTAGTATCAAGGAGACTGTGGGAAATGGTTGTACTCTCATAACGGGCTGCTGTTGACAAGATTGTCTTCAGGTTCGCCTAGATGAAACTTTTGCTTTAATTGCATATTGTAGCAGTTGAAAGAGTGTGCCTGTGACCAAAATAGTAACATAAATTTGGAGGGACTGCTCAAACAGTGCTCTCAAGGCTCCTGTGGGAACAAGGCCGCTCTGTGCTATTGAAAACCGATTTCTCATATCACTCAGTCTAGCCATCTCTAGCAGGGTTTTCAAATATCACATGGTGACAAAGCATCCTAATAGTACCTCTCGGGAGACATTTCTTTGGTGAGACAATACCAAGGGTCCTTAGAAATGGAAACACCACCAAGAAAAACAAAAGCAAGGACGGGAGGCTAGTCCACCTCTCCAGCAGTGTTGCCCTCTCTCAGATACAGCCATCTAGTTAGTCCACAACAGTGTGTGTTTCTTCAAGGTTTTCTCTGTGGAGTCCCCACACTGTTAGGCTGTTTCGTTGCACAACTTGCTACTTTATTTCCTTTAAGCACAGGTAAAGAAAAACGCATTATAAAGCAGGGATTTTCTTTAAGCCAAATTAATGTGGTGTTATGCTTTAATTTACAAGATCTGCTTGTAAAAACAGCACAAACAAACAAGCATAAAGCCTGACACTGTTTCTTTTTTCAGTACCTTTTTCGAGTTTGTACTACTTTATTTGAGCCTCTGTCAATGTGACAATATGTACTTTTCTGTTTTAATTTTTTATGTTGAATAGGTGGGGGACAATTCAGGGTTAGGGATACAAATGTTCACGATGCAGGTGCCCTTGTTGTGCCTGTCCCTCCCCCAGCAGATTCCCACTGCTGCAAATCCTGCCCCCTCCCCAGTCCTCCACTACTGCCAAGTACTTTTATTTTCAAAAGATATCTGCTGAAGGTTTCCCTGTTCTTGTATTCATTTGTCATCTTTTGTGCTATTTTTGGTATGTACCAATATAATACAAATTTTGTATCTTATAATAGCATGATAAAGATGGTACTTCATCCTTTAACAAGATTTTAATATTATTCAAGGCTTAGAAAGTATAGCCACACACACATTTTAAAGAAAAATCGAACTTTTTCATATTGCTTCTGGCAAGTATGAATAAGAGCTATCCCTTTTTAAATTTTTTCTTTATTGGGATACTTAGTTGATTTTGGTATAAGATGATAGTTGGTTTTGATAATTTGTTTTGTTAACTCCATAATTGTGTCTTTTTTGTTTTCTAAGAAAAATGTGTTGTCAAACTTTGTAAGGTATTATAAACAAGTATTATATAGCAAGAATAGTATTATGAACTTCCATATGCTAACCATTAGATTCATCAAGTGAGCTTCACCAGCTTTTTTGTTGAAGTACTTCAAAGCAAATCCCAGTCAATGACATTTCATCTCTATGTGTTTCAGTGTGTATATCTAAAAATGGGATTTTTTAAAACGTAACTACACTATCATTATTATCACACCTGATAAAATTAACAATTATTCCTTGATAAGGCCATATACAAATTTTACCAGTTGTCTTAAAAGTATCTTTTACTAAGCTAGGTACCATAGCTCATGCCTGTAATCCCAGCACTTTGGGAGGCTGAGGCAGGAGAATCACTTGAGCCAGAAGTTCGAGACTAAGCCTTGGCAACAAACACAGCAAGAGCTTGTCTCTACAAAAAAATTTTAAAAACTGGGTGGGCGTGGTGGTGCATGCCTTTAGTCCCAGCAACTTGGGAGGCTGAAGCAGAAGGGTCACCTGAGCCTGGGATTTCGAGACTGCAGTGAGCCATGAGCCACTGCACTTGAGCTTGGGTGACAGAGTGAGACCGCCGACTAAAAAAAAGTATCTTTTACTGTAGTTGTTTTTGAATCAAGACTCACATATTTGGTTGTTTGAGGTAATTTGCTTTTTATCGATCAGAGTTTTAAATCCTGACTACCCATGCCTGGTAATGGTAGTCTTTCTTTATATTTAGTTTTATTATTAGTCTTTTTTATCTTTGTTTTAGATTCAGGGGTACATATGCATATTCAGTAAATGGACTTCTTGTGCAGTGGTGGGGATTGGGTCTCAGGTCAAAAAGTGCTTTTCTTGCTTCCTTGAAAGACAAAATGAAATGTTCTGTGAGAGCAATTATAAGTGAAATACATACAGAGCATCTGACAAAAGCTTTTCTATTTCAAACAGAAAAATCCTTTTTCCCTCAAGTGTTACTATTCTCATGCCCTGTATTGGTTTTCACTAAAGCCCTTAGTTTTTGGTGAAATTTAATGAAGGTGGTCAAATTCAACTTGTAAAAAGTGGTGTCCTCTAAAAAGTATTTTTAATGCCAATTTGGAGCCATATAAGTATATTTTATTGTTAGAAAGCATGAAACTACCAAAATGCTAACTTTTGCAGTTCACATACTGACTTTTTGAGCTTTCTTCTTCCCAGATCTGGACAAATGGACACCTTCCTATCTTTCTGTGTCTTTTACCTCTGGCAGGAATGAACCCCCTCCAGTTACCTGCCTGGGCCAAGCTCTGAGCTCTGCCGTTGGGATGTGCCCTGTACAGGGATGTCAGCACACCTCCAGAGACGGTGCACTCCATGGGGCACACTGCGTGTGTACTCTGGGGATGTGTTTGAGCCCGGTCTGAGCTGACTTACCAAGTTGCAGTGCAATTCAATGGAAAAAGTAGGATTACATGAATAGGTTAGCTATTTCCAACTTTTTAATTATGGGTAGTTACAGGCTCCTCCTACATAAACTACTCTGGACTAGGAGTCAAAATAATGAGCTCAAATTCTTCTTCTGTATTCTGTACATGAGTTGGGGCAAGTCATAAGCCCTCTCTGCTCAACATATGCTTATTCTAAGTTATAAGGATATTTGGATGTGCTTTTTAGAAATGTGAAGTGCTTTTTGTTCAAATTAGTTGGCAACATCTGGCTTATCAAAAAGTGGCTAGGTCTGGAAAAGTCGATCTGTGCACTATTAGGTCTTAAGACTTGAAAAAAATTATCTCCGTGCATGTGAATTATGCATGCAAGCTAAGTGTATTCCCAGTATTTAGTAGAGGGCAGAATAAAATGTAAAGTTCAATGTATACTCTGGGGACTATGTTAAAATTATATATTCCTTTTAAGAAAAGCTGAGTGACATTTAAATGACATTTTTCCTTTCTACAGGAACCAAAGGCAAATACCAAAGTAATTTGTAAGCGTTGCAAGGTAATGTTGGGAGAGACTGTGTCATCAGGTAAGAATTTCATAATAAAAGGCCAAAATGATTGCTTTCTTGTTTAAAAGCCAGAATGAGATTTTATAGTAAATATATACGAAGATAGATGATGAATATATGTTGTAGAATTGATACTTTTCAAAATAGAAACCAACATATCATCTAATGTGCCAAGAAGCTTGTATATTTTGACCTTTATAAATACAGAGTATTGAGTTCTAAGCATTAAGAAGTTGGGTCATTTTCAGTATTTCCTAGCTTCTTTGTGGATATAAAGCAATAGTAAAAAGTTTCTACTTGGGTCTAACTTAAAGAAGATGAGAGCTTTTTTCATAAGACAACTCCTCAATTGGAAGAGTCGGTGCCCCGAGATGGAGAAGCTGCTTTTCTTGGCTGCCATCTGGTCCAGGGCTGTATTTTGGGGCTGGAGGTTGGAGAGGACTTATTGAAATGGAAGAAAACACATTTTGAGTTTTGTAATTTGTTCTTATTCTTTTTTCCTATTAGTGTTAACTGTATTTTACATAAGCTGTACTACACTATTTTAAAATACAGTAGTGAAAATCGTGATAATTAAAATGCTTTGCTATTTAAAGATATGGCTTAAAATGTCTAGAGAGCTCCAACACGCTGTGTTAGCTTTGAGAGTGATAAATAATTGCTTTTAATATAATTAATTAGAAGATGTGATTTAAGTGAAGCAAATCGTACTTCAGGGAAGACAGATGATGGCATTTTTTGTTTGTTTTTTAAGCCATCAGGATCTTGCTGGTTGTTACTTGTTCAGTGTGAGCAGCAAAAGAAGAAAGTGATAGTAAAGCATGCCATCCTCAACGTCATTTTTGGAGAATGAAAGCAAGCCCCTTAAGCAACACCTTAGAATTGATTTCTGAATTCCTTTCTCTCCTCAATGAAGCCCAATTAAATTGTTGGTTAAGAAATATAAAGATGTACATCTACAAAGACAGAGAGAAATGCACAAGAGGTGACAGTGACATAAACAGGAGATGGAAATACGCTTGGCAGCATGGAGGAAGCTGCAGCCTGGGTGTCTGTCGAAGACCATTTGGATGATGAGGGAGCCAGGACTCCCTGTAGAGCCCCAGAACAGGTCAGAATTTAGAGACAGCAGGTAACAGAGAAGGCAGTCTGAGGCGAGGAACTGGAAGCAGAATGATTACTTCATAGTTTGTATATGGAACTGTTAGACTTCTGAATTTTCTCCTCCACTTTCAACTTGCTTCTGCAATCCTGAAGGTGGGTGATTGGAGGGCTCTTTTGTTTAATAATAGAAGAGTCCTACCAGAGGAAAGACTTACAGATACTGATTTTTGGGAATCATTTAAAAAAAAAACTGGGCTTATATTGTCGTTAAACAGAAAGCGCTTGAGCTGGGCACAATGGTCTGTTCCCCTGGTTCGAGCTACTTGCTGAGGCGAGGAGTTTGAGACCAGCCTGGTCGACACGGAAAGACCCCATAGCTTCAAAAGTTAAAAAAAAAAAAAAAAAGCCGAGCATAGTAGTGAACGCCTGCAGTCCCAACTCCTTGGAAGGCTGCGACAGGGGGATTGCTTAAAGCCAGGAGTTCAAGATTGCAGTGATTGTACCAATACACTCCAGCGTGCATGACAGAGTGAGACCCTGTCTCTAAAAAAAAGAAAAAAAAATTTTAAAAATATGAATGGATTGATGAGAATCACCAGGTAATTGAGGAAATCTCTAACATAAAAGACACCAAGGCAAATAAATGATTAAGCAAGCAAGCAAATTAAAAGCACTGAGAAGAAACAAATTATGTATAGAGCAGAGGAAACAAATTATGTATAGAGCAGAAGAAAATATTTTTAAAAAAAACAAAACACATAAAATTCCCTTGAGAAATGAAAAAATGTCTCCATAATTCTGAGAAAGGGAAATTAAAAATGTAATGGCTTAAAAAAAAGCAATGAACTGGAAGATAAAACTAAGAAACTCTCTCAGAAATGAAAATCAAAAGACATTAAAAATTAGAAGAGAAATATAAAATATCATCATCATATGAGTTTCTTGAAGGTAGGGACATTGTCTATCTTGTTCATCCCTGTAACTCCAGCACTTAGAATAGTGTCTGACACATATTGAGTACCCAGTGAATTTTCTAGCCTCTTTGTAAATATAAAGCAATAGTATAAAGTTTCTACTTGTGTCAATCTTAAAATTGGAGCTTTTTTTCTTACTGTAGCTCCTCACTCAGATGAGTTGGTACCCAGAGGATATTTGTTGAATTAACTAATTGAACCCTTCAAGACAACCAACATGTAGCTCATAGAAATTCTAACAAGAGAGAATAGAGACAATACAGTGTAGGAAATTATCAGAGAACAAAAATAGCAGAAATATATTAAAAAACTATTTTCCAGAGCTAGGACTTCAGTTTCTCAAGTGCTGAGAGTAATTAATGGAGGGATAGTGGTAGGGAGGCCAGTCCAGGTCACATCAATGAATACTTTCAGAACATCAAGGATAAAGTTTCCAGAGGGTTAAAAGAAAAGCCAGTTAACATGTGACATATTAGGAATTAAAATAGCATTGAACTTCTTAATAGCAGAGTTGAAAACTTGAAGGCAGTCAGCAGTGCCTTCATAATTTGAAAGGAAAAATATTTTCAGCCTACAGTTCTATACACAGTCAAACCATCAGTCAGATATGATGATAATAAACGCAGTTTTGGAAATAACAAAGTCTCTAACCTAGACCTCAAAGGTATATCTTCCTTAGGAATCCACCATAGGTTATATATCACCCAAACTAGGACTTTAACCTAGAAAGAGATGACGTGGGATTGGGGTAACAGATTATCCAATATAGGAGAGCATTTGGAAGTCCTAGGGTGAAGGTTGTGCACCAGGCCTAGAGCATAACAGCCTGAATTGAAGCAAGGGGAAAGAAGATTTTGGTAAAAAAAAATTTTTAATACATATTTTTTATTTTAAAATTGTGAGGTACATTTAGGGGTTAGGTATACAAATACGCATTGTGCAGGTACCCTTGTTGATGAGGTGTGCCCCCCTCCCGTCCCCAGACACGTATTGACTACTGTTAATCCCTCTTCCCTTCCCCTCCTTGACCCCCCCCACAATTTCCCGCCACTGTCAATTCTTTTCTTATAGTATTACGATAGTTGTTCAAGGTCCACTTATGAGCGAGAACATGTGATACTCGGATCTTTGTTTCTGTGAGAGATCACTCAGTATTATAAACTCCAATTCCATCCAGGTTGCTGCGAAATTCATGATTTTGTTCTTTTTTATGGCTGCGTAATATTCCATTGTGTATACGTACCACATTTTTTTAATCCAGTCGTCTTTTGATGGACAGCATGGTTAGTTCCATGATCTTGCTATTGTGAACAATGCTGCGATAAACATATGTGTGCAAGTATCTTTTTTATAGAGTGATTTGAGTTCTTCAGGGTATATTCCCAGTAGGGGGATTGTGGAATCATATGGAAGGTCGATTTTTAGAGCTTTTAGGACTCACCACACTGATTTCCACAGAGGCTGCGCTAGTTTACACTCCCACCAACAGTGTAGAAGTGTTTCCTTTTCGCCACATCCTCTCCAGCGTCTGTTATTTTTTGAGTTACTGATAATGGCCATTCTGACTGGAGTTAGGTAGTATCTCAGTGTAGTTTTAATTTGCATTTCCTTGATGACTAGTGAGGTTGAACATTCTCAAAAGAAGACATACGAGCAGTAAAGTTTTTTTTAGTTATGAAGTGCAGTTGATAAATTCTTTGATTTCTTTGACCACAGGTAACAGATACTCTTTAGACAAGCCATTTCATTATATGGAAATAATTAGTTAAAAGTGATTGAAGCAGTTATTCACTGCAGGAAAAAAAACAAAAGATTGAACAAGAAAGGAAACATCTCTTTGGTACCATTATGCTTATAGTAATGTAACATTTACTCAAACATTATGGTGTAATACGTAAGTATACTTGGAGTGTGAGTTTGTGTGGGGGATGGTATAAGGGAGCTATATCCATATCTAGTCTAAAAATAAGTCAGTGGGACTCCACTTCCAAAAATGGTGGCATAAAGAGTATAGACAATTCCATTCTGTAGAAAACATACACAAAACTAGACTAGTTAAAAAATTACTCAGAACAATCATATTAGGGCACTGGAAAACGAATAAAAGTGAAACAACAATTTGAGGCAGGGAATTTTTTAAATTTGTTATTTTTATTTCTATTTTATTGTTTTATTTCAATAACTTCTGGAGGTATACATCGCTTTTGTCTGGGCTTTAAGTCAGCCCACCACCCCCACCTGTACACATGTTGCCTGATAGGGGAGTTCTTGATCCTCCACCCTTTCTCCCCTTTCCCTTCTGAGTCTCCAGCGTTCGTTTACTCTTTGTCTTTGCATATCCTGAGTTTAGCTCCCACTTATAAGTGGGAACATGCTGTGTTTGGTTTTCTGTTCCCGAGTCAGTTCACTTAGAATGTTCTCCAATTCCATTCAAGGTACTGCAAAAGACATTGTTTCATTTTTTTCAATCGCTGGATGGTATTCCATGGTATATATATTTCTACATTTTTATCATCCACTGATTGGCTGATGGGCCTTTGGGTTGATTCCACATCTTTGCGTGCTGCAGTGAACATGCCAGTGCAGGTGTCTTTTTTATATAATGAATTCTGTTCCTTTGGGTAGAAACCTAGAAGTGGAATTGCTGGATCAAATGGTAGATCTACTTTTAGTTGTTTGAGAAATCTCCTTGCCACTTTCCATAGAGGTTGTAGTAATTCACATTCCCACCACAGGTGTATAAGCGTTGCCTTTTCTCTGTATCTGCATCAGCATCTATTGTTTTTTGATCTTATTAAATAATGGTCATCCTGACTGGTATAAGGTGGTATCTCACTGTGATTTTAATTAGCATTTCCCTGATGATGGATGGTGTTGAGCATTTTTTCATATGTTTGTTGGCCATGTATATATCTTTTTTTGAGAGATGCTTGTCCATGT